AGAGTGGAGCCTGTGAAAGTGAACTGTCATTCATTTTGTGGTTGTTTGTTTACATTGGAGGCTGATTCTCTCTCCCAATGAGATCAGAATGGAGATCAGGAGGAAGATTGCATTGGTGAGGCTGCCTACAGACCATACATTTAAAGCACATGTCTTCCCCCAAAGAATCCTGGGAAGTGCAGTTTACCCCTCAAAAAGCTACAATCCCCAGCATTCTTTGAGAAGAGTCATGTGCTTTAAATGTATGGTGTGTATGTAGCCTCGGGCACTGACCACTAGTAATACAGCAGGAACAGAAGGGAATTCTGTCAAACTTTCTTAGCACTTCTCATGAGCAGGAACCGCAGGAGATTGGAGGAGGCGGGTAACAAAGCTGGTAGGAAGAAAGGAGGTGAGTTATCCAGGGATGAAGATGAGCCGGGGGACAAATTATGTATTGCGTGAGCAAGGACATCTCTTCAGACTTCAGGTGGCCACAGGGCCTGGAGACAAACAGGTTGTGTATGTATAGTAGTGACCAGAGGAGGAATGGCTGCTGGGAGGAGCGCAGAGAGAAGAAATACTGTACCATGATGCTGTTGCAGCAGCTGCAACAAAGCATGTTTCTCCTATATTGGTCTCCACTGCTGGTACCTGCAGCCTTACAACAGTTTGACTTTACTCCCAAAGGCACACTCCTCCATTGTCTCCTGAGGCAGGCGGATGCCAACTGTCCCAACTGTCCACTATAAGGTCAATATCAACAACCATCAACAGACAACCAACAGAAGACACTGCAGAATCCAAATACAGGGAGTGATAGGAACATCATTTAATCCCCGCCCTCCAGGGTGTTAAAATAAGGCAATGGCAGGCAAATACAGGGTGGAGAGGGACACCCTATTGCAGACAGACAGACAATAAGTTTCCAAAACAAGCAAATGTAAAAAGTCTCAGTTGTTTATGGCTGCTTGATCCTGCAAGTTTTGTCCAGATAGCTCCAGCTTCCCTTTCTTGATCAAATGCAGTCCCAGAAAGGAAAAGGAAAAAATAGGAGGTGAATAAAGGAGGGTCAACAGAGATTTGGGGTCAAAAGGGAGGGAGGAGAGGGTTGCACAAATTGTCTCACATGTTACCGCCTTCACCACCAGAAATAAGCCTCCATTGAGGAGTCTATTTTTCCAATGCAGACAAGAACAGGTAGGTAGTCCATTTTTATCCAAGATGGGCATTTGCCCATTCTTAGCCTCCCCACACACCCCCTACAGCCCAGGTTCAGGAATCCCAGCCTTCCAGCCCTCTAGATGCTCCCTGCCTCTTCGCACCGTGTGGGCAAACAAGGTGTTCAGCGGGAGAAACAACACAATGGGCAGTCACACCATTGGCTGAATCCCAGAAGAGAGGGAGGGAAAGCGGAGAAGCGCCGGAGCCACCCAAAAGGATCTGCGGAGGCATCGCTATTGTAGGAAAGGAGGAGGAGGAGGAGGAGGAGGAGGAGGAGAGCACTGTGAAATTGAAAACAAACAGAAAAGGGCCCCCAGTGCCTCCAGTTGGGAACTTCAAAGTATTTCTTCCGAGTATCCGGCGGGACTGGAAATGCAGTACTTTATATTCCCCACGTGGAATTAATAGCGCTGCCTAGTTCGGTGTTAGACTGAAAACGAAGGGATTGTTATACACCAAGGATACAAAGAGTTTAAGGGGCCGTTGATTTGGGAGGTCGAGCGATACCGATGGTGACCAGGAAAACCTTTTCGAGGCCAGTTTCTTTGCCAGGGGAGACGCCAGTTGTTTTGAGACATCACAATCAAAATGCAGAGGATGCTCGGCTCCCTTTCATTGTCAGGATCAGGAAGGAAGGACACACCGGGGCTGAGACGCAGCGCGATGCGACCCCCCCTCTCTGCCCCCCCTTATGTGTCTTAACTGCCTTTGCCCTCATAAGCTGGCGCGATGTATATTTATATGGCCGATATATATTTATACGGTTGATCCTGATGAGCAACTTTTCCAGAAGAAAGAAACGTTCTACAGTATTTAACTGCGTTTAACTAACGCGCACTAAAAACGGCGCAAGTTGTGAATCTGGAAAATGGACAGTAACGCCACACACACACACACACACACACACACACACACACATTCCTAGGAAAGCATCTTTGGTCCGCGCGCTGCCTATTGTTTCCTTTCCGATCACCCCCGCGCGGGGGGGGGGCGGTGTTGAAAGGAGAGGAGAGGGCTAATTATATTAAAAGCCTGGTTCTGCCCCTTTAAAAGAGCGGGAGAGAGTCGGCGGGGGGCGAACTCGGGGCCGCAAGATGAATTCGTCGGCGGGCAGCGAAGGGCTCCCAACGGGTCACGTGGAGGGGCAGGAAATGATTGATGCACAAGGTTGCTGGGCGCGAAGAAATTTAATAGCGCCGCGCGAGGAGCGGCTTCCCACTTCTGCTACTTCGCCGGGCGCACACGCTTCGTTTGCACCAATGATGTCAGCGTGGCCCGACTCCGGATCCACCCCCCACGCGCCTCCCGCCCCCTTCCAGGCTCGCGATGAAAATATTGCCCTTCCTTCGAGGGAGCCCCTCCGGAAGTGGCTCCTCGAAAAGAAACTTCCACTCAGCCTTCATGGTAGTGGCTTCGTGCTGGCGGCTGTGGGCTTGGCAAGCCTATGGCCACCGGGGCTTACTTCCGAGTAAACATGCCCGGGAGTGGTGCTGCTCTCCCAGCGGATCTGTGCAAGCAGGAGTCAAATACTGGGCTGACTCAGGTGCAAGGGTTGCATCGGGACCGCGCAGGCAATAGGGGGCAGGGCTGGCTGAGCTGTCAAGGCGGCCACTAACTGCTGCACTTGGGGGTTTCAGCAAGGGACTGAGCGACCTCGCCCCCCTGAAACCGACGTAACACGTGCGACTCCAAGCGAGCATAACTCCAGATCCCTTCCACAAGATGTAAGCGCATACTGTCTGGATCAGGGCTGAGGAGGTGTGGGTTCACCCTCGCCCAGCCCTCAGTAGTCACGAACAGGGGTGCCCACTTGAATAAAATATTGCGGGGGGTAACCCCCACCCCGCATAATCGATCACAAGATGCAGCTCACGCACACCATTTGCATGGCAATGCCCATCAACTTGGGGGGGGGGCGGCCCCCTCAAATGGAGGTGGGGCGAAGAGACCTCGGCCTCTAAGGAGTTGGCTCCTACGGTCACGAAGCTCACCGTCTGCTCTAATCTTACCTAGCTTACCTAGGTTTGCTATGAGGATTTTTTTTTCTAGCAATCTATTTTCATAAAAACCACGTGCGCCGCCCCGAGCCACTCGGAGGAAGGGCGAGATACGGATGTGACAAATACAGTGTTTTTAAACTTTGCTGGGAAGCTGCATCGTCCATCCGCTTTTGGCCACCGACTTTTGTGTGGCCCCGCACTCTCCTCCCTCACCATCGCAGGAAGGGGATCGCTCGCTAATGATCTGAAAATCGCAGCTGCCGCTTCCCTGACGGTCCTGCTTAGAATTCACTAAAGGAAAGGGTCTCATTATGCAAATATTTCATTCCAGAAAGGGAAAGGGGGGAGGGGAGATGTCAGTTATTTAAATATGACAGCTCGCCGTGCATCCTCTCTCCCCAACCCCCACCGCCGTCCCAAATTAAGGCTGCATCTTCCTCGGGTTTACTCTCCCCTCCTTCCATCCATTCACATCAGCGAGTATCCCCGGAACACCCCTCCGAAGTGTGTGTGTTATCCGTGCCGGATAACTTCAGCGAGTAGTAGCGAAGCAGCTCCAAAGGGGCTTCCCTCCCCTCCGCCACTACCACGCCAGGATCCCTGATCCGATCCAGTCCCCGTTGCAGCTGAGCGCCGGTTCCTTCGAGCGCAGAAGTAACCCTGAAAAGGTTAAGGAAAAGCCCCGCCATCCCCAGTCGCGCTGCCAAATCCCGCTCTCCCTTTAATGCCTGGAGGGATTAAGCTGGCTGTGTGTGCTGCAGACCAGAAGGAAAAACCGGGGAGGTTCCGAAGAAAACTACCCGCCTTTAACCACCAGGGTTAGGAAGACGCACACGCACCCCGCCCCCGACGTAGTAGGGCTGCCCCCAGAACCTGCACACCGGGGCTTTCTGGATGATCTGGAGAGCAGCCAGATTTCACCCCCAATTGCACCCTGGCGGCGTCCACCGAGTGGATGCATTCCAGAACCGAGCTCCGGCATCCTCTACTTTTAAAAGCGGAAAAATATATATATATATATCGAACGGTATGCAAAGCAGATCGCCGGACTTCCTGCGCTTTATCAAAAGCAACCAGCCACCAACCCGAGTCATTCATCTAGAACAAGTCGGTTTCTCTCTCCCCATACACACACACATACAAGTGTAATGGCTAATATGTCCCTACTGTCCTGCCATGAAAAGATCCGTGCTGCCCTTTTGCCAACAACGAGCCAGCCAAACGCTGGCGACTCAAACTCCTTCCCTCCCGCAGCTTTCAAGCCATCCCCGAACTGCAAACAGAGGGGAAAACAACTCCCGAAACTGCAACCCGAGCGTTTTCCAAGCCAGTCCTTGTTTGCCCGGTTCCCACCAATCGATCTTTCTGTGCTGGACGCTGACAGCGCTGCAAAGGCAGCCCGGACGCCGCGCGCAGGACTCTGTCAAGTGCAACGCACCCCCTCGGGGATCCGTCAAAACCTTGCCGTTCCCGAGAGCCGAAAAAGCCCCGAGAGCTGCGAGCGGCGCCGGTGCCTCAGCGCCCAGAAACTCCGCTTTCTTTTCATCACCGCCAATCAATTAAGCAGGACGCGGACGTAACAATTTCTTATTAATTACCGAGCGAGAGACTTCGTGTGTGTTGCACAAAAAAGAGAGAGAGAAAGAGAGAGGAGGAGATAGGAAAGAAAAGAGCGAGGAAGGATAGAGCAGCTGGGAGTCTGGAGACGCCAGGTTCAGTCTGGCAGCATGCATCGGAAAGGCGCCCTTTTTCATATTTAAACCACGCGGAATATGTACATTTTTGATTCCTACTTACGCTTTCAGGGGGTTGTGAATGACAGTCGCCATTTTGCTACAATGTAACAGAATATTGTGTCTCGGAGTTCTAAAGGTTCGCTCAGGGGAAGCGCTCGGCCAATCGAGAAAGTGGATACCGGCCCGCCGCCCAATCAAACTCCGAGGGCGGAGCCAGGGTTCTGCTAGTTATTAGGGGAGCTGTCAAAGCCCAGAGGTCACTCCCTTTCTGTGCAACTGTTAAGAGAGCAGGTCTTAAAGGGGCAGCGACGCGGCAGAGGGGCAATCGGCGCTCGAACTTAGATAGCGGGGAGTTTCAAGAGTTTTTAATTATAGTTTGGGTCTTTAAAAAAACCAAACCAAACCGCACACGCACAGAGGCGAGCGTGGGGTGGGTGTGCGCGCGCGGGGGTGAAACATAGTTCGTTCATTGTTTCCATAGCTTCTCGTTTCCCGAAGAGCATCTCCTCCACCACCACCAACTATTCATATGCAAGGATTGGGTTCGTGCCATTTAATCGGGGGGGGGGGAATTACATGTGTGCTGACCCTCACTTCTGCAGTTGCACGTTCTAGTTGTTCGGGGTATTAAAAACCCCCAAAACAAAACATGGTGGTCTCCATTTTGTTTCCCTTGATCTCCAGCCACTTTCCCCTTTAGGTTTCTTGGAACGCCACTCCGTAATTACAGTGACTTCAGGGCAGCACCCTTCCCCCTCCGCCAGGAATTTCTCTGTGTCAGTCATCCAGCTTCTGCAGCCAGTGCACTAGTTACATAATGCACAGTGGCCAAACCGACCGCCTGTTTGTTTCACTCAAAGCAACTTTTTGGAAGCGTGATCGTCTGGGTGTAGCGTGTTGAGACCTGACCTCTCTGATCTTTTGACATGAGAAAAGGGAGCGGGAGGGAGGGAGCTTCGCCTACATTTCATTAAAGCACATATAAGTGCTCCGAAGCAGCGAAGGAACTTCTCGGAGGCAGCAGATCTTCTGACTGCAAGGGAAAGGAGTGGAGACGGAGCCCCATTTCTGGGAAAGACACCAAGACGTCTGAGTTTACCTGTGGCTAATTACATGAGTCTGCAAATGAATTACCCAGAAGAGGAGCTGAAAGATTTTTGATGTGTCTAAAGGCTGAAACCATACCCACTTGAGAGTAAGCTGAAATCCCATGCATGCTTACTAGGCAGTGAAGCCTATGGAACTCAATGAGACTAACTTTTGAGTGAACACACTCAGCAGGCATGTATGTGAAACCTAATCACTGGACGTTTGAGGACTGAACTGTTAAGGACACTTTGGGTACTTCCAGATAGGGACCTGGTAACATAAATGAGTCGTCGGGATCTACTTTTTCTGTGTGTGTGTGTGTGTTAGACATGCTAGCTTCCACACATTCCTCTCCCCACCCCTGTAATGGATATTCATGGGTGTTCTACTACTTGTCATCCACACCAGGGTTGTTGCTTTTTGGTCTCTCCCCTCAGTTACTTCTCCCCTGGCATCCACTACCTTTTTAAATTACAGGCATGAACACAGGTATTTCTATACCTCTGCATACCTGAAGAAATTGCATCCTAAGAATTGTACATGAGCCAGCATAGCCAGCCTTGTTCAGCTAGCTACCATATTTCATTGCGGGGCAAAATGAAGGGTGGGGCTTTGGACAGGCGATAATTTTTAAAATACTGTGGGTCTTGTCAAATACCTCTGTGTTTGTTTGTTTGTTTGTTTGTTTGTTAATTAAAGGGGGGGTCAGGTGTTCATACAGTGATTACAACCTCTCAGGAGATATTGAGAGAGTCTCTTCTCCAAACCAGATGTGAGGCAGTCAGTAGAAATAGGAGTCTTGTATTGTTATCTGGGGCAACTGGAAACAAAACGGGACAACCTACTGAAACAATAGGGACAACGCGGGTGGTGCTGTGGTCTAAACCACAGAGCCTTGGACTTGCCAATCAGAAGGTCAGCGGTTCGAATCCCTGTGACGGGGTGAGCTCCCGTTGCTCTGTCCCTGCTCCTGCCAACCTAGCAGTTCGAAAGCACGTCAAAGTGCAAATAGATAAATAGGTACCGCTCTGGCGGGAAGGTGAACGGTGTTTCCGTGCGCTGCTCTGGTTTGCCAGAAGTGGCTTAGTCATGCTGGCCACATGACCCGGAAGCTGTACGCTGGCTCCCTCAGCCAGTAAAGCGAGATGAGCGCCGCAACCCCAGAGTCATCCGCAACTGCACCTAATGGTCAGGGGTCCCTTTACCTTTACTGAACACATGACAAAACACTCACCCTAAAAATTGCACTAACAAGCTGGGAGCAGTTGCAGGTGTACACTGGGCTAGTTTTACATATCTGATTTTCCACATTAAGGGGAAATCCAGACTAAATGTAAACAAACAAACAAACAAAAATGCCAGCCCTTATGTTTGTTTGTTTGTTTGTTTGTTTGTTTACATTACAATGTCATGTGGATGTAGGGGGTGGGTGTGGAATTGTGAGCATAGCAGCAACAATTTCACAATAAACTCCCATCTGGAAGTACCCTTGGTTAAGTCAGGCTTCCTCAACCTCAGCCCTCCAGATGTTTTTGGCCTACAACTCCCATGATCTCTAGCTAGCAGGACCAGAGGTCGGGGATTATGGGAATTGTAGTCTCAAAACATCTGGAGGGCCGAGGTTGAGGAAGCCTGGTTAAGATTAAGCCCCACTAGACTCAGAGAGACTCATTTCAGAATAAATATGCATCACAGAAACATAGGGAACTGCTCTATACCAAGACTGACTATTGGCCCCTCTGGCTCAGCCTGCACTGACTTGGCAGCTGTGCCCCAGGGCTTCATACAGAGAGACTCTCTCTGCTGTGTTTGGAAATACTGGGGATTGAACCTTGGGTCTTCTGCCTGCAAACTTAAAAATTAACAGAGGAGCGGTGGAGAGAAGCTTGGGTGAGTTGTGTGGGGAGTCCCTGAGGGCTGACTCTAGTACAGGGGCTAGAGCAGGCATAGGCAAACTCGGCCCTCCAGATGTTTGTGGCCTACAACTCCCATCATGCCTGACCACTGGTCCTGTTAGCTAGGGATCATGGGAGTTGTAGGCCAAAAAACATCGGGAGGGCCGAGTTTGCCTATGCCTGGGCTAAAGGTTTCCTGTCCCTGCTTTACTTCAAAATGTGGCAAATCAGCCCTGGGACATTTGCAGGCCCTCCTACGAAGTGGAGTCCTGAGCTTTGATTGTGAGCAAGGAACTTGTTCCAACACAATGCTCCATCTGTGGTCCTGTATGCTGTATGTCTGGCTGTCTGTAGTTCTGCACATGCTCTTAACTCAAGAGGGATGATCTGTTTGGAACAGATTCCCAACAGTTTTGAACAACGCCCCCTATGAATGGAGTTTGTACCCTACTACTGTGGGAATGATGGAATCCTCTAAAATAGTGGAGGGTGTGACTACTACCCAGGCTCAGCTTCCACAAAGGACACTCCAGTCAATGAAATTGTTGCTAGATCAAATATTGGAGGGACAGGACCAGAACGGTGTTTTTTATTTCATGCAGAAATCAAAGGCATGCAGTGTGATAGGAGACACCTACCCTGGACATGCCTTTACAGTTAAATGCAAGTTAATGCTGATACAAGGCATCTGCAAGGCATACCTGACCTACCCCATATGCAGTGCAGTGCACATCTGGCCTGCTTTGACACCATATGGAAGCTAGTGTGGGTGTGGTGTGGCATGCTGTTACTGCATCGAACATTTTATTAGTCTGAAGGGCAACTTTCCCCGCTTCGAAATACTGCTCTACAAACATGCACATAGACAGAAACCACAGAAATCAGACCTCCCAATTTACATCTTTATCAAAAGGCAAACTGGGCACATTTGTTTTTGTTGAACTTTGCGGAGTTGTACAAACAAACCCACGATAGTATCTTGATGAGAAATAACTGGAAAGAGCAAGAGAATGTCAGTAGGATTGCTGCCTGGAAATGTATTACTGCACAGTTTGCATCCGAGATTAAACCGAAGGGTGGCAGTCATGGATTTAAGGGAACCGAACCGCACTTGCACCTTCCTAGAGACAGTCATTGCGACTGCGTGTGGAACGATATTGTAATAAAGGGGGCAACAGAAAGAGCAAAAAACCCAGATCATCATCTTTATCCAGCAGCACTAAACAGTTGCTTATTAGCTTGTAGTGCAGATCTGACTTGTGTTTCAACTAAATCTGGTCTCATGCCATGCAGTCCTATATATGCTTGCCCAGGAGTGTGTGCTTAAGACTGCAGCCACAGTAGTCTTAAACAAAAGAGAGAAGGGGCCATAGTTCAGTATTATGTTCATGTTCTCCAGTCCTACCATTAGGAAGCATAAGATGCTACCTGTTTGGGGGCTTCCCGTGGGCAGCTGGTTGTCCAACATGTGAAAGAAGGCATTGGATTAGATAGGCCTTTTGGCCTGATCCAGCAAAGCTTTTCTAAAGCAGTCTGCTGGCTACATACTTACATCGTTATAGCATCATAAGCAGAGGGCATTTGGGGCTTATCAGGCCCCAAAATATCTCTGTACACATGTGATTATTGAATCAAGGAATTGGGCAAAGTTCACAATGGGTACAAGTCTTTGTGGGGGCGGGGGACGTATAAGAGGCCATGGTACAAACTAAGCCAAATGCAGCCCATCAGCCATGGATCATGCCCTTCAAGGTGTCCGACATGACAACAGCAACTCTTTTTTGCAGTGTGAGGCAGAGAAGAAGAAGAAGAGTTTGGATTTCATATCCCGCCTTTCACTCCCTTTAAGGAGTCTCAAAGCGGCTAACATTCTCCTTTCCCTTCCTCCCCCACAACAAACACTCTGTGAGGTGAGTGGGGCTGAGAGACTTCAAAGAAGTGTGACTGGCCCAAGGTCACCCAGCAGCTGCATGTGGAGGAGCGGAGACGCGAACCCGGTTTCCCCAGATTACGAGACTACCGCTCTTAACCACTACACCACACTGGAAAGGAAACAGGGGCCTTATCAAGTCCCTGACAGGCCACAGCACACACCTAGCGGGCTGTTCAGCCTGGTAACTCTCCAGTTGTTCCAGACTGATATATGATATCAGTAGATTTTGTCTTCATCCCACTACTAT